ATAAAATAATTTTAAGAAAAAAAATACACCGACTTCGAAATGCACTAAAAAGTATAAAATAATTTCTATTTCATTCAATCATACAATTACGTCATAGATATGAATGAAACCTATGAAAAATACCTCAGTAAACGTTGCTGCCAATAACCAGTTGATTGTGGTATGCCGTATTGGAAATTAATAAATCCTGAGAAAGAATACGAACCATTATAGATATATCTGGTAATATACGTAAATGTAATGACTGCATCTTCATTTTGCAACGTTTCTGATATAAATGAAATTGAATCGACTTTGTTCGCATGTGGAAGCCATGGATTTAAGAACCTATAAACGGAGCCGACGACGCGGGAATTACCAAATTTGCGGCATGTAGGCTCTATCTTTATAGAATATGCGGCGATCGAGTCTTTCCGTTGCATACTCTATGAATCTAGATAGACCATAATTACATTCTATATGCACTAACACCTACTTCGCGGTGTGCTGTCGAATTATATGTATAGAAAAAAAATAGCTATACAAGCTTTGCGTATGTTCGGCTGTCCAAAAGTTGACATGTTCAAGAAAATCTTTTAATTTTTCGCCGCCTCCGAAAAGGTTGAAATGTATTTAATAAACTACCTAACGAGTAAATAGGTTTCATTCATATCTGTTACGTAATTGTATGATTGAATGAAATAGAAATTACTTCATTAGTAAATAGAAATTATTTTACACTTTTTAGTGCATTTCGAAGTCGGCGTATTTTTTTTCTTAAAATTATTTTATTTCATAACAAATCATCATTGCACAATCCCTATAAAGTACCATATTAATTGATGTAATAATGAGGGTCGATAAATGAGCTGTTCCTACAAACATTCGCTTGTAATGTCCTAAACATCGTCTGCACTGATAAATTTATTATATGCGAGTATTATTTGTGGATCTAACAAGGCGATGTTGCTTGAGGCTACCTTTTATGAATTTTAATTGCAACCACACTATACTGGAATAGAAGTTATGGCAACTGAGTTTCTTAAATAAAAAAACGTTACTACTGATTAAAGTAATGAGAGGAAAAATGCATACCATTTTTCAGAACATTTTATTCGAATTTGTAATGCAAATTGAAGAAATAGCTGTTGCATACTTAATTTAGTTATATATGTATATGTTGAAAATAACGTAAAAAATTTGTTGATGTATAAACACACAATGGCCATACATATATATATAATTTTTTAGGTTTATTACAGTTATGGATATTATACTTTCGAAAGCACGGTCGTAACCTATGAAAAACTGTAATTTTCATTATTTTTAAGTATCTGTAATTTATGGCCGTGTTACTAAGTTGGGACGAAATTTTCAATATTAATGGTCTTTTTACATATACAAAAGATACTTTTGGAATTTTCATTGTAGCTTTAAAGAAAATAAAGTTGCTGAAAAATGATCTTCGCTTTCCTTTACTGTTACAACCAGTTGCAATTTTTTTCAAATCTACCTCTAGTAAACTAGTCTTTCTAATTTTTCAAAATAATTCAGGTTATTTTATGCGCAATTGTTAAAACATGTTCTGTTCTAAATGGCATTTG